GCCCGGCTCAGACGTCATTTCAAGTCTTATTACCCAAGAATTGTGTTCTGTACGAGTCCAGCTGCCTTACATAGTGGTTCCTCTGATGGGTCTGGGCAAAGTAAAGTGAAAGCCTTCTGGAAAGGACTCCGCCTTTGGGATGCCACGAAGTCCACATGATCACGGGAAGAGGCCAACACAGCAACATTCACAGGCATTTGGAAGACGCTGATTCAAGACAGCAACCCTGGCAACGGTTTTGGATGTGACACTAGAAGCAAAGGCAACAGAGGCACAAGTAAGCACATAGAACTACATCAAACTGAGATCCTGAGCCCAGCAGACAAAGGGAACCCTCCACACGGCGGGGAGGCAGCCTGTGGGGCCGGCACGCGAGTTTGCACATCACATATCTGATAAAGAGGTACGATCTGAGCTGTATGAAGAACCACACAACTCAGTAACAAAAAACAACAAATTGCTTTAAAAATGGGCCAAGGAATTGAATAGACGTTTCTCCAAAGACACGTGCAGGTGGCCAACAGGCATGCGACTCGGTGCTCAGCACCACTAGCCATTCAGAGGATGCGAATCGAACCACCGCGAGGCACCGCCAGCCCTGCGAGAACGGCCGTCACTGGAAGAAAAGAGGTAACCGGTGTCGGCGAGGACGTGGAGGGAAGGGAGCCCCTTTGCTGGTGGATTGTAAACGGGAGCAGCCACGATGGGAAATTGCACGACATTCCTCGAAAAGTGTAACACAGAGCTACCGTGTCACCCAGCACCCCCACCTCTGGTGTTTATCCGAGGAAGTGAACCCCTACCTCAAAGCAGTGTCCGCAGCCCGCGTTCACTGCGGCGCTGATTGCCCAGACATGAGACGACCCAAGCGTCCGGGGTGGGCGGACAGCTAAGAAGACCGGGGATGTGGGAGAACCCCCTTGTTTACATCTCCGGTAAAAGGACAGGGTAGATTAATGGGGCAGTCTCTCACCGAGGAACAAAAGTGCTTAAAAAAATTTAAAGCAAAGACATAGCAAGGTCATGGGAATAAGGAGGCCACGGTTGACGGGAGTGGAGCCTGCACGCAGCGCTCTTAATCAAAAGTTTGTAGGAAAACCAAGTGGACCTTGGGCGTCAACATCTCATGCAGGACACAGAGACGCCCGCCCAGCCCCGCTCATCGGGGTGGCCCCCAGGAGGCAAGTGAAGCAGAAGCAGACCCACCAACAGCCCCCCAGGGTCATCGGGGAGCCGCCTCGGGGCGGAGCGCGGGGCTGGGGCTGGCGGTGGGGCTGTCCCTGGGAGCTGGGACCGCCGTGCAGACCCACACCTCCCAGTGACTCAAAGGAGCCTCATCAGGGAACTTAGATCAAAGTGACCCTGGCTCTGTGCTGGAGGACCCAGAGGGACTAGGGGCAGACCCTCCTCTCGGAAGTTCACCTTCATCCACGACCTCAAAGGAATTCCACAAATTATTTACTAACAACAAGCAGTCTCGGTAGAAGTGCAGAAGGAACAAAACGCCAAGATTGAGGGACAGGAGAGGAAACAGATCCACCAACTTCAGATACTGGAAAAGTCTGACGTGTTCTGAAACAGCCATGTCTCTGTCAAGCTTAAAGAAATGAGAGCCAGATGGAAAATCCACTGGGAACTATTACAAAGGAACAGATAGCGTAAAACCAAATAGAAAGCTGGCCATGAAGAAGACGGTAATTAAAATTACTTATTGAATTTCTGTTTCCATAGAAAATTCAATTCAACTGAAGGAGCTTTACTGTGAAAATACAGAGCCAATGTGCACGCCGCACAAGACCCGACACGCTAGCGCAGGCCAGGCCAGAGGCGGTGCAGGCCCCACCACGCAGGGACAGGCATGGCCCGAAGGGA